GAGTCAGTATGGAAACAGTATAGTCCATCGCTACCTTAGATTGTAAGGTACCTTAGATTTGTACTTCCTGTTTACAAAAAAGGTTTTTTTTTTTCTCTGGAGCCGATTAAATCAGTAGTATTTTGGTTAGCGCTATCTTCCTAAAATGTAAGCATTTTGCTTGAAATTTCACAGGTCAAGGTTTTCTGCCTATTTAAAGAAAATAGGACAAGGTGTTTGGGGGGTATCATTCCTCAAAAATGAAATCTCATAGCCTGAATATTTCCTGGTGAGCTCTGGCTTTCTTTAACTAAAAAATGGCTTGCATTAGAAACTCCAGATACAAGTTAGTATGTTAATCTGCCAGTGGCTATGATGACCTTTAGACTATGAGAAGTGATGTTGTAGTCAGCAACAGGGTTTTATGCTTGCACTACAGGCTTTGGCAACATCTTTATACTGTGCACTCAGTTGCTTGCACTTAGGAAGTGCATTAAACCATGAGCTAACTAAACAATGCATCAGAATCATGCAGTTCTCAGGAAATTGTGGCCATGTATGCTGCAAGTCTCAGACCTTAGGCTACAGGCATAGGAGTGATACGATTATACCACAGAGTTTCTTGCTTGCCCAAAGGGAATCTCTGTGAGGAAACTACAAAGAGTAAGGTGACAGTAAAGAGGTTGTTCAGGACAGCAGAGAAATGCTAAAAGATTCCAAGCTGCGTTTGAAGTAAACTGACTTAGCCTTTGGTCTGTTCCCTTTCATTTCTGCATAATTTCTGGCATAAACCTAAGTTCCCTGCATTGCATGCAATCAGAGGTAACCTTTCTGTGTTATTGACCTATTTCTTTTACAAGCAACCTTTTTTTTTTTTTCCAAAGGTGGTTGAAGAGGGAGGAAAGGAGTGAAGTGTAATTGTTGGTGTGAAATCCTTTGTTATGATTATTAATTCATGGTTCTGTGCACAGAATACTGTACATCTGCATTTTTACTTTAAAAGATTAGGAGAATAAAAACTTACCAAAGGTGCTTTGAGACATGTTCATAATGACTATTGAATTCTTATGGGGGAGGTTCTATGTATGTAGAAAGTACTAATACAGAATTTCCATGCACAACGTTGTTGAATTAAATTTTGTTCTTATATAGCCAAATTATCAATGGTTTATCTGTGAGACTTTTATTAATCTCTTTAATTAAATGCATCTTCACTAATATGATTTCAGATATTCTTTTGTGAATTAAAGAGTAACTGTTTGCTAAGACACAGCTGAGTAGAGGCAGAAGACTGTTGGTAGAAGTTTGCTTTATCCCTTGTTTACTTGCATAGATTGAAAAGAATGAACCTTTAATTGTAGAAATGTAGAAATGAAGGTTTGTAATTAATTTTATACTTAGTTTTACTTTGTTTACTGTCAGGTGTGCTGTCAAAGCTGGGTAGAAAAGATGAAAATCCTTATGCACCTATAAATCTTCTGGCTGATTTTGCTGGTGGAGGTGTCATGTGCGCAATGGGCATTGTTATAGCCCTTTATGAACGTACCAAATCTGGAAAAGGGCAGGTCATCGATGCAAGCATGGTAAGTTTGGTCTTGAGGAAAGTGGGGTTTCTTAGGTTTGCTTCTTTGGTTTTTTTTTTCTTACTCTGGGTCTGTAAAAGGGAGGAAATTGGAGCTATTCATAAGGTTTAAAATGGAGAACTTGGGAAAGGGAAAGTATGTAATCTCATAAAATGGCTATTTCTTCACCTGCAAACAGTTTTCACATATCACTGTTGCCATAACATCTTTATGACATGGGACACATACTGTGGCTTTCCCCCTGTGCCATTCCCTATCTTTCCTTTTACTAGACTGCCTTCTTCAAAACATATTAACTGTATATATTTGATGAGTAAGTTTGGTGCAGGGAAGTAGGGTGTATAATGAGCAATTAACAGCATGCTTAACAGCACAAATGATGATCCTAATGAAATAAAGAATTGCATTAGCTTTATCCAAGATCCATCTGCTCATGGATTTGTGACAGGTCATATCTTATTAGAAGCACTGCTCCCTCAAATAATTGCACTGCTATGGATTATTGCCAAGAAGTCAATTTCAAACACTTTATGTTAATGTGCCATAGAATAAATGAAAGGATAAATTAGCTTAATAGTGAATACTATGGATTTTTTTACTGCAAGGCCACCCACTTACACACAGAGGAAAAATACATATTTACATTTATCCTTGAAACCTCTATTATCTGCAAGTGTTTTTTCTCTCTCTGTCTCTCTCTTTTTCTGTTTTTCTTTTTAAAGAGCGTTGCAATTAAAATTTGACCTCCTTTCAGGGTTTTGTGATACGGTTAAGGCTATAATTTGGACTTAAATATAAATGGAAACAAATTACATTAATTTAAAAAAATCCCTTTGTTGAAGAGGTCTTGAAGGTAGGAGAATAGCAAGAGATTATACCTATCTTGACTTGAGTAAGTTTTTGACAAATTCACATGACATTCTCAGAAGCAGGGCATGGCATTATGGTCTAGATGAGAATTCTATGGGATCAGTGCAAAACTGGTCTAATGTTTTACCCCGAAAATAGTTAATTAGTAGTTGATAGTCAAAACGAAAAACTTAATTGATGGGAGTTCCACAGACGTCTGTTGGTTTTTTTCAGTGTTTTCTGCAATAAGCTGAATGATGGATGAGTGATTGTACTTAGTAAATTAACAGATTATATGCATGTGGGAAGAACTACAAGTATGTTGGACACTTGGATTAGAATTGAAAATGACCTTTTCAAATTGGAGAAATGACCTGAAAAAAATTGGCTGAAATCCTTGGAGACTGCTGCTCTAGTTTTCTTAGGCAGAAACAATTTGCTGCACAAATGCAATATGAGAACAATTGGCTAAAGTACAATCCTGGGCGTTTGTAGTAGTCACAAGCTGAACATGAGTCAACAGTATCATGCTGTTGTAAAACACACACACACTGTATTAGGATGTATAAACAGGAAACAGAGCCAGCAGACTTTCTGAAGTAATTCTTCTAATCTATTCAATTTTTATAAGGCCTCAGGAATACTGTTTCTGACACTAGCCATCATCTTTCAAAAAAAATGACCTATTTAAGGAAGTCCAAGAAACACAACAAAAATGATGTGAGTCTAAAAACATGACCTACAATGGAGAATTGAAGGGGTTTGCATATTTGTAAAGCAAAACCCACAGAATTGTGACAAGTCTTCAAATATTTAAAAAGACATTTCTTCTAGTTTGGAGTATTACCTTATTTTCACTATTGGTACTTTAAGTCATTAAAAGAATTTGTTATGAGAAGAATCAACGTAAGTCCACTAACGTCCTAATGAGATCTCTGTCTCATTGGGAATGGAATGTGTTGTGGGTTTTTGTGGTTTTAAGCCCTCAAAACTTCTCTCTTTCAATTTTTTCTTGTCTCGTTCTATTTGAGGAATTTACAGTTCCCTGCTGATGTTCCTGGTGACCTGTGAAGTGGATGGAATATTGTCCAGTATCACTGGATGTACTTTACCTGGCATTTTGTTATGTTCCTTTCACTTGAAAAGACTTTCAGTGAGACAGCTGAAAAACATACATGCATCATCAACAGCAAAGACAGTGAAATAGACTGGGTTGATGAGCCTGGTTTTACATCTAAGTTTATTTCATGGAAGTAGATATTTTTAAAATCACAGTACCACAGCATTTCAGCTGTCATTTTGTTTTAACATTTTTTTTTATTTAATAGGCCTATTACTTAAGTTGTTGTACAGTTTAGGTAGTCTGAATATGTTGATGTTAATTAATGGTGGAATTTTCTACAGTAGAAGAGGAAAAACTAATTTATTTTTTAGCAGCTTTGTGTCCTCAGGATTACTTTTATTAAGTTTTCATCTTACTTTATGGATTGTTTTACTGACTGCTTGTTTGTTTTTTCCTTTTATTGCAGTGTCTATTTTTCTGAGGTAATATAAAAAAATTAATTATTTCTTGTCTTTGAGGTTAGTAATTCTAGATGGAGATCTGAATTTTTGTGATAGAAGAATTTGTTATTTATCTTTTATTTCTAATTACTACGCTGAAAGCTGAAAAAATGGCTTGGGAGCATTCTTGTCATCAGTAGTATACACAAGAGGAACTCCTCTAGTTAGTGAAACTAAACCGATGCAAGAAGAGGGTAGAGAGGATCAGGCCAAGGGCTCGATTTGCATCACCTGTTCACAGCATCCAGTCTTAACGTTGCGCTGAGTACAAAGTACACATGAGGGCCTGCGTTGCAGCTGTCTACCTCAGAAGAATTAAGTGGCTGGTGTGAACTGATTCACATTAGTCGCTGTCCCTTCTCAATGACTCTGTAGGGATCGTAGGTATCTTACAGTGAGCCTGATAGTTCCCGTGTGCTCAGTAGGATGTGGAGTGAACACCACAATATGATACAGTAGGCACAATTGTACACCTGCACTCTCATAGCATGCTGGAATAGAGGCATGTGAGGCAGGGCCACACTTTAGGTTCACTCCAAATTCAGACACAGAGCCTTCTGCTGATAGTAGGCATCTGACCAAGCATGACTCATTCTTTGTGAAGACAGCCACAGGAGAAGATGGTGGTAATGATCACTTGTATAATTGTCTCATGGCAAGAGCATTTAGCTGTCCCACAGAAGACTGGGGTTCCAGGTTTTTCACAGCCTGGAGCTATTCAAAACCAAAACTCCCACGTCCTAGAGGCATTCATCAGTCACAAGGATAAAGATTAGGTTGATGTGGGTTCGTTCTTAGTTTTTTCCAACCATTTCACTCCGCAGAAGGAACAGAAGAGTTGCGGAGCAGAGAGGTCACCCCATGGTGTACTCTACACCAGCCTCTGGATTCTTGTCCCTGCTTCAGAGACTGCTGATGCTTTTAATTAAGTGAAATGCGTAACCGTTATTGTAGTCATTCTGCAATTAGGCTTAAGTGGAGTCTCCCTGCATTGTCCTTTTCATGTTTTAAAAGAACGTGACCATATTAGTGTGTGTGTGGTGTTATTTGAGCATGCCTTTGGAGGTTTAGTGCAGATGTTAGACACCTTTTTACTTGTCTCTGAATTGCAGTGGGCCTCAGGCAGAAGCTAGCTGTCCAGTTGCCCAGCCAGGGATATTTCTAAAGTCCCCATACCAGTCCAAAACAGATGTACTATTTTATTTTAAGTGTTTCCAGCGTAAGTAGCACTGTACATAGGTATTGTAAGCAGTTCTGTCAGCACCAAAATCTAATTTGGAGTTAAAGCTTATTCTGGTATTATCTTCATCTATTATTATCCTTATTTCCAATGTTTTTACGTATTTTTTTGTTAATATGAGCAATGCAAGATCAGATCATTAGTAAAGCAAACACTATTTTGATATCCTTGCAATCATTTTGCAAACATGTAGATGAAGGTATACAATATTTTTTCATATGAAAGTACTTTCACTGACTTTAACACATCACAAGTAGGGCAGACGTATTCCTGTCCTTGTGGCAGGTACTTGAGAAACAGGCCAAGTAATGCACATTAAATGAAGAAGCCTTCATGACCAAAGATTTGCATGTTTTAAATTCTTGCTTAGAAAGGTAGAAACTCATAGATCTTTCCACATGAAAATTCAGTAGCTTTTTATTTTTGTACAGCCACTGTGCTTTTCTCTATAGACAATATTAGGTTTATTTTACACATCTGAAAATGCATGAATCAAAATTATACAGCTTAGGTTTTCCTCTGTTCCACTGGAACGTTTCTGGCCATATAGTGTTACTGCCTCATCTTCTCTTACAGTTTTTCTAATGCAATTGAAAGAAAAATGGATTCTGCTGGTGAGCAAAACTGTAGGATGTGATTTTTCTTGTGTGAGAAATGTCTCAATAATTTTTCTTGAGGCAGGTTCTTTGGTGAAGGAAAAAAATACCTTTATTCACAATTGCAATGGCAGGTGCCCGCAAGCAGAAGAGCACACCATGGTTACACAGCATGGCTCATATACCCTCGCTCGTGACACACAGAGCCCTCCCCTGTTTCCCCACTGGCTGAGTACTCCAGGTTCACAACCTATCCAATGCTTATTTCTGACCGACACAGCATACACGGCTTTTGGTTGCCAACCTGTGACTTTTCAAATTTCTGTTTTCCCTCTGGGAGGTGGTAATGTTTTGTTTACAAGCTGTGAGGTGGTAACGGCTTGTTCTACAAGCCTTCTTAGCAATTGGACTCCTGTCCAATATCCCTAAAAAGTCCAGCTGCTGCAGGTTGTTTTTACAAGCTTGTTTTACAAGCTTTCTTATCACTGCAAGTGCATTTCAACACCACACCTATCTTTCCTGAGCAGTGTGGCTTCCCTTTGCAAAAACACAATAGTTTTCTTTCTTACAGCTTGGAAAGACTGGTACAAACTTGATAATTACTGAAAAGCTGAAGAAACTCAATTTTCATCTGGTTGTACTCTACATAGCCAAAATTTTAAGGAGCAAGTTGGAACAGGATAAATCATGTTTTCTAGTGCTGTATTCATCAGACACTTACCTTGCTATGTCTATTTACCTGCCAGTGATGAGAGTAGGAGAATAATTTTTTTTTAACTTAGTGAAGGAGTTTAGCTTCCCAGTTCCCATAATATAAGGGAGCTTTAATAATTGATTTCCTTCCAGTTTTCTTCTAAAAGTAGCAGTCTTATTACAATCAGTATGTTCAAAGAAATTAATGTTGAGACAAAAATTTGATACTTATAGGACTGGCACAGGTATCTTTATTTCCAGAGGTTTAGAAGGCTTGATGGCTGTCAGATACTTAACGTTCTGTAGAGCCAAGAAGCTGTCCTATCACCTAAAGTGACTTACATTTTCTTTGTGAACTCCTAATGATTATAAACTTGCTAAACAAGGAAACTTTGTTCGTTGAAAGTGTGTCGTCCATCTGCAGCTGTATTATTACATTTATGCTCCTTCTTATTCTCTAATTCTAGATGATTTCACATATGCAATATAAACACTAATTGAAAATTTTAAGAAATGAAACTGCTTACCAGAGATTTTGACATTAAAAATCTTAGCAAAGGACAGAACTGGTAGTAGTTTTTTGCTGTTTTGTTTTATGAAAAAATAAGGTAACATGCTAACTAAGGTAGTGAAGCTCTTACTTTTTCCTGTAAATCTTCAAGGTAGAAGGAGTAGCATACCTAAGTTCTTTCCTGTGGAAATGGCAACGTTTGGGAAGTTGGACCAGACCTCGAGGTGAGAACCTGCTAGATAGCGGTGCACCTTTTTATGAAACCTACAAGACTTCCGATGGAAAGTTCATGGGTGTTGGTGCCATTGAGCCTCAATTCTATGAGCAGTTAATAAAGGGTAAGTAGCTTGGAGCAGTTGCTTCACACCAGCAAAGCATAACTGAATGAATACTTTAATACTTGATTTTGATTCATGACATTGGTTATGTTGATTTCCTTGTAAAAGCCAAACACTTCTTGCAGCTAATTGGGCAGTAGTGTTCAGCTGACTATTTCTTCTTCTAGCAATTGCTTTCTTTCTTTTTCATCCCTTCTTCACCTTACCCTCAGAAACTGCACTTAGGTAATGGTAGTCTGTGGCTGGAGCACTAAACAATATTTTTGGGAGCCACCTTTTTCAAGGGTTTGTGAATATACTTTAAAAATGAGACCTAATTCTTTGGTATTGCAAATAAAATTTCAAGCAAGTTCAGTTATTCATACTCTTCTTTTAAAAAAAAGAAACTCTTTAAATTGTTTCAGAAATGAATGTTGATTGGAAGTAGTTCTTAATATTTCTTGAGCTTTATAAATTAATTTCCACCACACAACTTCAGAGTGCTTTTAGTGTCCAGCTATGGATATAATTTTTGTATTTGACTGAAAAATCTTTAAATATGACTATAAAATATGATTTATCTGTTTGATAAATTAGAATGGGTCACACAAAATAAATAATTCTGTGAAGTTAAAACAGAAATTTGCAGGTGCCACTTTACCTTTGAACTGTTTGTGTGCTTTTGATCAGATGTGCTCTTGGTTTCTTAGTGGTTATTTAATTTAAAAATAATTTCTTCTGTTGTGCTCCTTTGGTAGATTGCTATGGTTTCCATACAGAATTTATGAAAATATAAAAAATTCACAAAAGAATTTGGTATTTATTGTCTTTCTATTACCCTGAATATGAAGGGTATAAAAATTATCAATCTAATTTTAGTTTTGCTCAAGGAGTAGAAGGAATACCAACAAAGTATCTACCTAAAGTAGCTGTACCCAGTATTGCATGAACCACTTTTGTACGTGCACGACTTACACGTGGTGAGTCTTTGCCAAATGAGGGTGGCACTGGAGTTGCTCCTTATTCTTGCTCAGTCTTTCCCCAGTGATTATTTCTTGAATTGTAGCTTGGATACCTGCACTGGTTTTGGCTGCGATAGAGTCAATTTTCTTCACAGTAGCTGGTATGGGGCTGTGTTTTGGATTTGTGCTGGAAACAGCGCTGATAACCCAGGGATGTTTTCATTACTGCTGAGCAGGGCTTACACAGAGCCAAGGCCTTTTCTGCTCCTCACCCCACCCCACCAGCAAGGAGGCTGGGGGGCACAAGAAGCTGGGAGGGGGCACAGCTGGGACAGCTGACCCCGACTGGCCAGAGGGGCATCCCACACCATATGACATCATGGTCAGCCTATAAAGGCCAGAGGGAGAGGTTGCGGGGGTGGGGGGGCCCTGCTCGGGGACTGGCTGGGCATCGATGGGTCGATGTTGAGCAATTGTTTTCATTTGCATCACTTGTTTTTCTTGGGTTTTATTTTTCTCTCTCCTTGTTACTGGTTTTCCCCCCCTCTTTTCCTTACAATTTTTTTATTATTGTTTGTTTGTAATTATTAAACTGTTTTTATCTCAACCCGTGAGTTTCTTTCTCACTTTTACTCTTCCAATTCTCCCCCCATCCCACTGGGGGAAAAGGGAGTGCGTGAGCAGCTGTGTGGTACTCAGTTGCTGGCTGGACTTAAACCATGACAATTCCTCTCACAAGCAGTTACTGCCAGCTCAGCCCCAATCAGCTACATTGCTCTAACAAGAGCATAGTCAGTGCCAAGGCCTGCACTTCCAGGAGTTTTTGAAATCCAGGAGCATGGTAAGGTGGAATGAAGTTACGGGATTGTGAGGTGGGGTATGCCTTTGATGAGCAGGATCCCAAAGAGAGATCTTGTTCTGTACGCTTTGGCTTTGTTCTCTCGCAACCTGTGGCACTCCCAAAGTTCTTGCATGTCTGTGGCTATAAATGGCTGCTTCTCTGTGTAACTTAAAAAGGGCTGTGCAATTGCATAGAATATTCAGATTGGTACGTGCTGATACATGGAACGCATAAGGAAGGCTTCTGGAGTGACTCAGGGACATGTCTCGCATTATGTGCTGCCCGCAGATCAGATGAGAAGTTTGGAAGAGCCATGTTCTTGGCTGAAGAAGCTGGTACTTTGTCTCTCAGTGTCCTGTTTGTGAACTCCAGTTCTAAGCCACTCGATCTTGAAAAAGATGGTATGGTTGATTATTCTACACTTTGCAGTTATTTGAAATGTTATCTAATCCCTTGAGATTTTTTTGCTTGCAAGAAATGGAGAACAAAAATAAATATAAAACTATATCAAACTAAAATGTAAGCCTTTGCTCTGGAAGTCAGGGAATTTGGAATTCCCGTACGTGTCTTCAGGGAGAATGACTGTATTAAATATAAAGGAAAAAAGAAAATAATAAAGCTGCTTACTCAAATACCCATATGGTTGGCTTAAAGTGATCAAACACCTGTCTGCAGTATTGATGGCTGCAGTATTTTATTCCTCTCTAGAGATTAAGTTGAATAGCACTTACTTTTAAGCTATACGAGTGGGATGGAATCTACATTTGTTCAAAAAGAAAAGAAATTCTGTAATGAAGTCTGGTCTTGTTTGTCACTCTTCTTCTCAGTGAACCTTTGCTGGACACTCCAGCTTTCTTTTATTGATCATTGCTACAGGGCAAGACTCAGACTTTTCTTGCTCAACCAGCCAGCCAGCTTATCTAGAAAGAAGCCTCTGATGGATGAATCCAGTGGTCAGTAACATGATCACTGACTGGTCTCTGTCTTATTTAGATAACTCTTTACTGAGGAAAATGTTAAAATTCTCTGTCTTCCTCTTAGTTGTTTCTCAGAAGTTCAGAGTAGAAAGTTGAAGCAGCAACTGTGAATTCATCTGCCTATACTGGCACAGCCACATTGGACAACTTTATTTTCATGTTTGAGAGTATTCCTTATGCTTACAAGGCACAAAAATGGCTTTATTTAAAAGCTGAAGTTTCAAAAATAGTTATTCCAGCAGTAAAGAACTGGTGTGTCCATTCGTAAGTAGACAACAACTGCAATCACAGCTGTGCCTGTGTTTCAGTCTGTTTCAGTCATACTTAAAAAATCCAACATACAGACTACAGTCTTCTAAGGAGATTTGGGTTTTTACCTTTAACTGTATCACAGTCTTTGCTGGTGTACAGTCAATAATTTTTCTTTGTAGAAATGTGTTGTTTAAAATATCAGACTGAGTTAAAGATTTTTCTCACAATATTGCATTTAAAATAAGTGGTCTTTCTTCATTGTATTTTAGGTGTCTATTATGAATTGTTCAGATTTTCACATAGGAAATATTTATCCTTTTCAGTAGTTATGCCTGCAGACTTTCTGAAGCAACAGTATACTAAATTAGAACAGCAGGTCCTTCTTGTGGCTTAGGGATTTTTTCCTTTCTGGGATATATATTGCAGAAATTCAATTCAGAATGTAAACCCTTGAATGTTATAGGGAAGAAAAAGCTGCTTGTGAGAATTGTATTGCTCTTTCACAAACCCAAGGAGCTTTGACTTAGGCTGAGTCGTCTGTTCCAGGCATTAATCCCCTGCTTTGAAGTAGTTTTAAAATGGTATGTTCCAGTTTCAGTTTCCATAATTTTATTTCATACTTTTTTCCCACAATTCTGTTCAGTTCTGCTAGTGAGCAATTTGGTGCTGCTCCAGATAAAATATATTCAAAAGCTACTTTATTTCTCTCTGTCCATAGTCAGAGAGTAGCTTACTTTTGCTACTCCTATGTAATAAAAACACAAGGATATGGGTGTTGCAGATATAGGAGCTGGAGATTAAAAGATTGCAGAATTGAGAAAGGAACATGATCTCTGAACCACTTGTCACTGCTCACAGAATTCTGGTTAGCTGAAGTGAAACTAATTTCCTTTTGGTTTTGGTACGCTTCAGTGTTTCCCTGCAGATTTAGGAGCTCGGTGCTGGACCAGCGTGTGGTTAATGACATGGCAAGGAAAGCTCTTAAGGGGTCTGCAGAGGGGAACTGATGAAGTTTAAGAAAATACAGCATCCCCATTTGAGAAGAATGTCAGTTTTGTAGATCATGCTTGGCAGGGAAATTACATTTCTGCTTACTGCAAATTTTTGAATTTAAAAAAAAAAAGGTTATATGAGAAACTGAAGCTATATAAAATAGGTATGGTAAATAATTGCTGTAGTAGCTGCAGTATTAGGATTTGTATTCTGGGCTCACTATTGACTATTTGCTGTTAACAAACATGCTGTAATCCTCCTTATATTTTATTACTATGAAAGTCAGCTAATAAATAACTAAAATGCCTTTGCATCTCATGAAAAATCTGATGTAAGAAACATGCTACTAATGTTAAGTCTCAATGTTTTGACAGAAAGAGACAAAGTCTTTCAACTGATCTGTAAATTGCTTCTGCAGGTTTCTCTTGATTTTTAGAAATATGTGCTTGGTATTGCTGTAGCCAGGCTACAGGAAGCATGCAGAACACAGTAAATTTTGTATATCAGGTGAGAGTAAAGGTTTGATTCTGTGTTATCATGTCGTGTAAACTGGGTTACATAGGGTGAACTTAGTATCAATTTACGTTGATGTGAAAAACACTAACAGTCATTAAAAGTTCTGAACATGTATTTTATAGCACTCTTTTCGTGCTACCTCGATACTCCTACATTGTGTGACTTCTATTTAAAAAGAAGCAAAAAAAATCAGGAAGCACTTGAAAAATGTAGTTTACATCATTATGAAGGATTTTCACAGGGCTCTCCATTTTGTGATTATAAAGTGTTGTATACTATATTAAAAATCTGCTAACGTACCAAATTCAACACAACGTTGTTATTGAGATATGCAAAGTGGACAAACAGTTTCCTCATTACACTTTAGATACCCTCAGTTACACATAATGTTAAGTTTTGTTTGAATTTACTTATCATGATACGACTTAAACATTGTACAAATAGTGTAGAGGGCCAGGTTCTTGCTGCACCAAAACATTTGCAATTGTGGTTATTAAATATGTAAACTTGGAGTACAGCCATGGATGCGTTTGCAGCAATGTAGTTCTCTGGGCCTGATCAACCTTTTGCTGAACTGTCACTTTCTAAAAAACTATTTAGTTTCGAAAATTTTGAGCAGAGAAAAAACTCTACATAGTTACTTTAATGAAAATTCCCTACTGCCTTGGAACATTCTAAAGTTCAGTTCCTTCTCAGAGCGAGAATGAATAATACTTAGAGAGAGAGCAATGGCATACACCTTATGGCTGTGGTTCGGACTAAAATTAAGGATTCCCATACTAGAGGGCTCTATTCAGTCATGTTGTGGCAACATAACATCAAAATTACTGCGCACACAATTTTCAAAAGAAAGTCAGCAAGCTAAAACAAGAAAATCCTGAAAAAAGCTGTGCTAGGGATCCTAAATAATCTTTTAAAATAGTATGGCTGAAATACTGTAAGAAACAGCTTATTTCCAAGATACCATAGCAACTTTGCTGATTTATCTAAATAATTTTACCATTTTCTGTCTCTTGAAATAGGTGCCTAATTTTACTGCAGTTTGTCTAAAAAGTTCTGTAGGAATAGGGATTTCAGTTTATTGCATTAATAAATCATGTGCAGATTTATGTCGATAAAGCTACAGCATTTAAAGGACACTTAAAGCTATATCATTATAAGGAGACTTAGTTTTTCATTTTTCAAAAATAAAAGTTATTTCAGAGCTGTACTCTGGTAGGTTACTGGGCTTCTCTGAACAAAAATCCCTAGATGAAAATTTGAGCAAAATACCTTGGAAATGAGTTGTGATTGCTTTACCAGATATTCTGTGTAAAAGATACTTTGCTTTTGATTATGTTGGGTGAAATCTGTCATCCTGTGGTAGCCCAAACAATCTGTGCTGTGTAATTGTTTCCTTGTTGACTCAGTCACTCCTGCTGTGATTCTGTTCGTCTGCACCACAAACGGTTAGCCCAAGCTGGAAAATGAGAAGCTGTAGTGCTTAAATGCTGTCAGTTCATGCTATTTAAAGTTGAAGTCGTCAGTGGTCAGTGGAAAATGAGCATGTAATATTAATCTCCAAGTTCTGCATATCGCTCTATTTTGCTAGAGCATGTATGGTTAGGTTCAGCCAACTTTCCATCTGGCATGATCTTCAAATGCAGTTGTGTAATGGGATAATGGTAGAGCTCCCTTCATGTTGGACTGGCTACTAGAACCCAAACCATAATTAATAAGCAAACAAATACTTATGAAACAATGTTTCCAATTGACAAGATTTCATGCATTGAGACAGAATCTCACGCTCAGATAGTGTGTTGTTACTCAGCCTTACTTACTGTGGAAGGTAAATTTGCCTCACCTCCTAGTTCTTAAGTAAACTATATAGCACTGTTCATCTTTAGTATTATACTTTTAAGATTAATAATCACATTAATTTTGAAAGCATTGTTAGCTTCTATTTAATGATGGATAGTCAACCAGCATGAATAATCTTCAGCTGATCTTTTTTCTAGGATGATATGAATGGTTATGAAGACTAGACTGTCAGTTTAGTGGTTTAAGGTGCACATGACTTGGTAACTCAATAAGGCCTGATGTTTACCTTGTAGTAATACTTACCCCGCTATCTGTAGGAATCTCTAGTAAGATGTGAAAATGCTTATTCCGTCTTTGACTGTGTTGATTTTCTTCTAAACATGAACAACTGGAAGACTGAGTCTGGAGACTGGCAATTTCTCTGTTTTCCTCTGCAGTACCAAAGTAACATTTCAAAGCATGTATTAATTTCCAAAACTGCTGTTAAGAATCTTGTGATCAAAAGTGAAATCCTTAAATATTAAGATAACTTGGGGGAGCCTTTGAGCTCCAAGAAGTGCATGTAGTGGAGATTATGAGCAGAAAGAAAGAACTTAAAGAGTGGAAGAATGGACATTGTCTTCCTTTCCTCTCCCCTGTATGTTTCAGTAGCTATATGTCTACCCCTCTTAGTGATAAGGAAGCTGTAGAAATAGAAGGTACAGAAAGTTTTTCTGCCTATCTACAGCTAAAGATTAGAGGAGTTCTGTGTAAATTCTACCTGCAAACAGGCACCTAGTCGCCAAGCCTATTAACAGTTGCAAGTGAAATCATCAGATACCAGATCTCCAAAGATAGAAGAAAGAATGTTCAAAATTAAATGTTTATAGAACTCCACATTTTCTCTGCCTTTTACACAGAGCTGTTTTCTAAGCAGCTCCCTTTTTTTGTTGTTTGTGAAGCATTATGATAGTTGTTCTCTATCTCTTTCTAATTTTTCAAATTAACTTCTTTCTTATCCCTGCTTTTTATGATTTTTTTCTCAGCTACATTCATGCTCCTGAATTTTAAGATATGGCTCTTTGGACAGCCTTCAATATGCCACTTCTGATTTCTATTTGATATCATAGACTCTGTTTGTACTGCTGTTTGTACTATCTCTGTTTTGAAAGTGTGGTTTAACTGCCTTTTCTCTTTCTTGTTTCTTACCGCCTTTTTGAGATAAGCCCTACAAGAAGTGAAAACAATTCTTGGATCGCCTTGAAGTAGAATGGAAGGGTAGGGAGTGCAGAGAGCAGACTCCATGAGAACAGACACAGAGATGGGAAAGGGGCTGCACAGGAGGGATGTAAACTCCCCACTGAGAGGGAAGGTGGTCCTTAGTTAAGGGAAGGACCTAGGCCTTGCCTAGTTCAGGAGATTTTCAGTACAAAGCCTGTGTGTCCACCTTCTGCTTGTGTCTTGGAAGGGATGTGCATATTGCATACCTAGGTGGTCCATGCAACTGATCTTCTGGGAAGTGGAGTTCTTCAGCAGTTAGTGAGTGTAAGGGCTCTGGGTTTCACTTTTCCAAAAGAGCAGCAGTGGAGAGTTGGAGCCTGGGAAGTGTCCTGAAGAGGATCAAACTCTGCTTGAGTCCATTCCGACTGAGGGAGTCGAGAAGCAGGTTGGTTTCATGCACATGGAGACTAGGTATATCCATCCACACCATCTTCTCGTCTCTGACACAGAAATAACTCGACTGTGTTGGACGCAGTGTAGCCTGCTGAATCTCCAGCTCTGGTGGATGTACTGGCTTCTACAAGTGTATTGCTGTAGTCCAAGACCCATTCAGCAGGCTTTTGTGTTGCTACTGCCAGGTAGAGAATACAATACCTATTATAGAAAATGTTCTCAGGACAAAACGTTACTGCTAGGCAGCTGCTGCTCTTAAGTGTTTACACAAATGAGTGTTTATTATATGTACTTAGTTAAAAGGCTGTAGCTGATGCAGTTTAGTCTAAATTGCAACTAACAGAACATTTTGTTCTTCTGTTCCCTCACCTTCAATCAATATAATAATAAAGTTTCAAGCAACTTTTAGTTGGTATGTTCTGCTGTGTTGGACTGCCTGCAGAATATGAGCTTCTCAAGGAACCTACTTACCTGTGGGCAGCACTGTGATGTATCTGAGGTATACTACAGTTAAACTTTGCTTTTCTCCTTTCAGGTCTTGGGCTAGATTCAGCTGAACTTCCCCATCAGCTTAGCGCCTCTGACTGGCCGGAAATGAAGAAAAAATTTGCATCCATATTTGCACAGAAGACACAAGCTGAGTGGTGCAGCATATTTGATGGTACTGACGCCTGTGTGACCCCTGTTTTATCCTTTGATGATGCTGCCTCACATCAGCATAACAAACAAAGAGGTTCTTTTATCAAAAATGATCAGGAAGAGATAAGTCCTAGACCTGCTCCTCTTCTATCAAGGACCCCTGCTGTTCCATCATTTAAAAGAGATCCTTTTATAGGGGAACACACAGAAGAGATACTTCTAGAATATGGATTTACTAAGCAAGAGATTGCTAAACTTTATTCTGATGAAGTAATAGAATTCAGTAAACCAAAAGCTAATTTATAATCTCTAACTATGCAGATCAGAGAAATTTCAGGCTGATACAGTATGGTTTTACATATTAAAATTTAATTATATGACAAATAAATGTTTGCATGATACAGCTTTTAAATAATTTTTTAAAAAATTATTGAAGTTTTAAATTTAATGGAAAACAGTGGGAGTTACGTACTTGTGTGCCTGAATGGTCTGCAGTCTAGAATGGTACCAATACTGTGTTCTGAAGATCTACAGAGCTTGCTTAGTAAGCTGCTGTAAATCCTCCAAATGTTTCTTTAAATACCATATCCTGTGAAATGGGTCTTTTAATTCTTAGTTACACTGTTGCTTCTCCTTCATGTAATTACAATACTTTTAATAAAATAGTTATATTCTTCCTAAACAAGTGATTGTGTTGCTTCCTCATAGATTGGAAGGGTTGTTTTTTTTCTCTATCTTATCATATTAATTCATTTGCCTTATCATGCAAAAGCAATGATTGAAATAATGCTGTTTTCTTAAGTGCTTCTGTAGAGTTATCATAAAGTAATTCTATTTTAACAGTCTGACTACATTTTCCTAATGCAGTCTCCTGATTATATTACATTTGGAATTTCAGTTTGCCTAGAAAATCACGTCAGAACAAAATTTGTTATTTTAAAATAGCTGCCAAGTATTAATACTTTCCTCTCTTCTTGGAAAAATGGTAGGCAACTTTGCTGCACAGGTCTTAAACAATGGTTATTCCATAGTGATTTTTATTTCCTTCAAAATTAAATCATCATTTGAAGCAGTCTCCTTCAAGGCAAAAAAAAAAAAAGAAAAGCTTTTAAAAAGAATTAGTTATATGGCCTTAATACAGTTTTCTTTAGTCTGACATGTCAGGAATTAGAATATGAGGGACTGGGTTTTTTGATAATTTTGTCAGCGTTAACCTTGCTGAAGATTAGTTTGTTGCTTACGAAGTCTTCCAAAGCTGAAATACACTTTAGCTCATTTTACATGTGTCATGACAAAATGTCAGCATTATTTCTATAAAAAAAACTTATACATTCTACTACATAAACACCTGCCTGGAAGCAAGGATTATCTAGTGGGTCCTGACAAGTTAGATACACAATCAGCAAAAGCATCTTAAGTTTCCAGCTGATAATCACTCTACTGTAAATTACTGGATGTTTGACACCTTCACAGTAAGAATTGACAATTTGCTTAGTCCCAGATGCATCTGATCATGTTGGAGAACAATAAATGTTGTCAAATGTAATCCCCAGTGCACCTAAGTTTTGACCCCCAAATCACTGAAGTCAATCTAAAAACTCATGTTAACTTCAGGGGTGTGGGGTGCCCCCCAAAGCCGCTCTGTTACTCCCCTCAGCAGGACAGGGGAGAGAAAAATCTATCAAAAGGCTCATGGGTTGAGATAAGGACAGGGGGAGATCACTCACCAGTTGCTGTCATGGGCAAAACAAGATTCAACTTGGGAAAATCAGTTTTAATTTATTGCCAATCAAATCAGAGTAGGATAATGAGAAATAAAGCCAAATCTTAAAACACCTTCCCCCCACCCATCCCTTCTTCCCGGGCTCAACTTCACTCCTGATTTCTCTCCCTCCTCCCCTCCAGCAGTGCAGGGGGACGGGAATGGAGGTTGGGGTCAGTCCATCACACACTGTCTCTGCCGCTCCTTCCGCCTCAGGAGAGGAGTCCTCACACTCCTCCCCTGCTCCAGCCTGGGGTCCCTCCCACAGCCGACAGTCCTCCACAAACCTC